TGAAAGCAGGTGAAGGTGATTTACTACTAATGAAGGAACGGGCTTTACTGATGAGATGCGCATAACAATATCATGCGATATATCGCCCAGCCCTACTGCATACATTAAATGATCTTGATGAAACTTCAGCAGTGTGTTCGCTGTTAGAGGCCGATCACATGGATGTCACTATTGTGAGTCAAAGTTATAGCTGGCACCAGGAAAGAAGGAAAGAAGTGAATAGAAAAAGAGATGAGCAGAACAAGAACTACATCTGACTTTAGAGTCTAAAGTCAGTTGTAGTTTTTGTTCTGCTCATCTCTTTTTTTTTATTCTCTTCTTTCCTTCAGTGATTCTGCTTGTTAACAGGCTTGTTAAGGTTCAGATGACTCCATATTTAATATACACCGATTTTGTGGCTCAGCTAAAGTCCAGTTCTGGTTTATTTCTTTGTTCTTGGCTGACATGTGGCATTGCCAATCATGGCACTTTCCAGTAGAACATGTACTTTTGTATGTACCAATTCTAAATTGACTCATTTTTCCTAACATGTTTTTCAGTGTCATTACGGTCATGTAGAAAACCAGATCTGAACCTGATGTTGTGTGGAAGTGATGCGGCTCTGAATACTGTATCAAAATGTTTCAGAGAAGAAGAAACACTTTTCTCATCACATAAAAGAGAGTTTAGAACAGTGTGTCAGATGGAAGAAAAGCTTCATGGACGTCAGATTACTCTGGTGAAGCTTCCAGCTCTCAATTGGTTATCAGAGGATGATGTAAGGCGTCAGACTCTCCGCTGTTTGTCTCTCTGTAATCCTGGAGTTAATGTTTTCCTCCTCATTATTCCTGTTGGTCCACTTAATAACGAAGACAAAGCTGAAATTGAGAAAATCCAGAAGATATTTGACTCCAGACAGCATTTCATGGTGCTGTTCACTACAGAGCTCATTATTGATGAAAGAATGACAGATATAGTCAAATCCAGCCCAGAATTTCAGAGGTTAATCGGTCTATGTGGAGGTCAGTACAAAGTGATGGGGTTAAATGAACCTGCAAACTCGAGACCGATCCCAGAACTATTGGATTACATAGAGGATATGAAGATTGAACCATATTCACTTCAGATGTATGTGAAAGCTCAAGAGAACAGAGTCAGACATGAAACAGAGGAGAAATATAAAGAAGAACTGAAGAGACTGGAGAATAAAATCAAAGATTTTCAGATTATGGGTAAGAGTGTGGTATTTATACCTAAAATATGGTGTTCTTACTGTATGTGATTGTATGATTAAGTTCAGTCATGAAGCTTTAAATTCATTGTCTTAGTCATTTTGGTCAGTTCTGATCACATGACAAGTAATTCATAAATAGCATAAAGTAATCAACTTGCAAATAAAGCTGAGTGTCTTAAAGGGCACCTATTATGCCCCTTTTTACAAGATGTAATATTGGTCTTGGGTGTCCCCAGAATGTATTTGTGAAGTTTCAGCTCAAAATACCCCACAGTTAATTTATTATAACCATTTGAAAATGTCATTTTGGGGCCTGCTTAAAAATGAGCTGTTTCAGGGACTATACCACCTTAAGTACAAATGAACTGCATATCCCCGCCCTGCCTTTGGATGAGGGCGTCACTTGATACCTATGGCAGTCGGTACTGAGAGACTGAGCGAGACCGCTGTTTTGAATGTCATTCATACGTTTGAATCGGAATATATAAATAGTATGAAGAGACTCTGGCAGAATAAATACAAATGAGAATGGACCAGTACGTCTCGGTATGGTTATTTGATACTTATGTAATTGTTATTGCGTCTTTTTGCAAGTATGGATGTGCAACACACACACACACACAGACACACACAAACACTGAAGCTGGCGCAATATTTTGAAACTACATACACATTCTGTGATAAAGTTTGCTTACGTACAAGCGAAATTACATTTATGCGAGGGGCCAGTGGCGTCATGTTTACTTGTCATACAGGTGCTTCTGTGGCAAATGTGAGGAGATGGCTAACTTACAGAACAAGAACATATGCAGTTTTTAATATAATATCTTTAAAAATATATATATTTATAAACGTGTGGTTACACACTATAAAAACAAGGTTTAAATTATAATATAGCCTACACAGACATTCTACGGCGACAACAACTTTAGACGCATTTGTTGTTGAATTGGCTGACATTGACTGAAAAGACTATTTGCTCAAAAATCATAAAATACACTTACTGTTACTGGAGGTGACGGTGGATCGCAAACAGTAGATGACGATCCACAGTTGAGGATTAACTTTTAAGCTACAACAACAGGATTAACCCACGTCAGAACATTTGTGTTTCCAAGAGACATTACCAGCTGTCGTTGAAACAATGGAGGATGATGTGTGCAGATCACAGAGGGCGGGGTCTAGGCCGCAACCACACTGTCAATCAAACCCCTTGCTCAGTTTCTACGTCACAAAGAGCTGCATCTCAGAACTCAGAATGCTGCCAACACACATTTATGTTCAAACACCATGTAAAAGTGAATTTTCCATAATAGGTGCCCTTTAATGTAATAAATTACATATCATCCATTCGAGCTGTTTAATGGATACTTGTATTCATTCTTTTGATTGAGATCTACTTAAAAGTATATACTTGGCTCGTAGTTGTGTTTACCCTTTTGATTGAGTAGCCTATTAAGTACCTTTTTCACATAGTTTTACACACTGTGTTAGAAACTTCCATTGTTTGAAATTATTGATTTACAAAGAAAACTTACAAGTATACTTGCTGTATAAAACTACTAAACTAGTTTACCAGAGGTAGAAAGTCCAGGGTTCAGAAAGTAAAAGTCCTGGCATATTTTTATTCCACCCATGAACTCACACAGCAAAAACTCACACAGTTTATTTGGCCCCAGACTCAAGAGTGTTAAAGTGTTACAATGAGTGTTAAATTAACACTCAATAGTGTTAAAGTTAATGAGCTAATTAAGTGATTGATTGAGTTATGATTAACCATTATTTAAGACACCTGATTTAAAAAGCAGAATCAACAAAGGAGAAAAATCCCATTTTCGTCACCATTATGGTGATTGGTATTTGCTTTATTTGGGCTCTTGATCCTTAAACTATTAATGTTAGATTCAGTTAGGCTGCTATATTTGAGTTATAATTGGTAGATGAACAAAGGGACACGTTCATTAGGTAGTGTTGGTTATGTTTTAACATAATCATCATTTGATTCATCATCATCAATCATCATCGATATTTAATGTGATATGGCTCAGCTGGTCAGTGAACTACGGCTCTTCGTCACGGGAAAATCTCCCGTGTTAAACTAACACACCTGGGAGTGTATATGAGTGCACACTCCAGAGTGTTAAAGTTAATGAGATAATTAAGTGATTAAATGAGTGATGATTGAGCATTATTGAAGACACCTAAAGCAGAATCACAAGGAGAAAATCTAAAATTTTAAGCCACTGTTATGGAGATCAGTGTTTGCTTTAGTTGGGCTCTTGACCCTTCTATTATTAACTTTATATTTTAATTTGCTGTTGCATCTGAGTTATATCTGTCAGATGAACAAAGATAAAAAATTATTCAATGATGTTGGTCATATATTGACATTCATCATTTGAAATTTATGTCTGTGATTTATTCTGTTGGTTAGTGTATAACTGAGATTCTGTATAAATATCCAGAATGTTAAATATAATATAATAGATTTCTCAAAAGTTGTTATAAAAAAAATCGTTCTTTAAGGCACACAAAGACCTCAAGATTCAGTCAATGCTTCTCTGTAAATTACATAGACAATTCAGATCATAATTTATGCATACCGCAATGCATGATGGGAGCCATTAATGAGTTGTGATTGGTGGCAACAAGGATTATTAATGTCACCACTGTTGAGATAGACAGGCTGATTATTGATATCTGTGTTTCTAAATAAAGTTGAAAGTGATTTGATCAGAGCAATTATTATTAAATGTTTTGGATTATAAGAATACAGACATGCAATCAAAACACAAAAATGTTTTTAACAAGTTAAACTAATTCATCTGAATAAGTTTCATTTTTCAGATCACAACATGATTACGTCAAAACATAACCAACACTATCAGATCACAGTTGTCTTTGTTCATTTGACTGTTATAAATCAATAACAGCAGACAAACAAAGATTAAAGTGAAAGTATAAGTGTCAAGAGCCCAACTAAAGCAAACACTGATCTCCATAACGGTGGCTTACAATTTGTGATTTTCTCCTTCAGCGATTCTGCTTGTGATCATCAGGTGTCTTCAATAATGCTCAATCATCACTAAATTAATCACTTAATTATCTAAATAACAGTTTAATTTAACACTCATATTGTCCATTTGAGAGCATGTGAAGGTGATTTACTACTAATCAAGGAACCGGCTTTACTGATTAGATGCGCATAACAATATCGTGCGATATATCGCCCAGCCCTAATTGTATATTGGTCATAACAGAATCAAAGAGATTTTACAGCATAAGATCCATATTATTAAATATAATCCAAATGCTTTTTTTTAAATTTCTAAATTAAAAAAATCTTTGTTTAAGACACACACAGACATCAAGATTCAGTGTATGAATCTCAACAATGGTGACAAAAGAATATTCAATTAGGAAAAGGAAATTACTGAGACAATTCAGATCATAATTTAATCATACTGCAATGCACGATGAGAGCCACGAATGAGTTTTGATTGGTGGCACCCAGAATACACTGCAACATGCTTCATTATCGTCACCATTGTTGAGGTTCATAGGCTGATTCTTGATGTCTGTGTGTCCAAATAAATATTTGGCAGCCAAACTAAATCGAACGTTAATAGTTAAACCCCAACTAAACCAAACACTGATCACCATAATGGTGACTAAAATGTGATTTTTCTCCTTTGTTGATTCTGCTTTTTAACATCAGGTGTCTTCAATAATGGTCAATCATTTCTCAATTAATCACTTAATTATCTCATTAACTTTAACACTCCTGAGAGTTAATGTAACACTCATTTTAAAGGGTTAGTTCACCCAAAAATGAAAATTAAGTCATTAATTACTCACCCCCATGCTGTACCAACCCCGTAAGACCTTCGTTCGTCTTCGGAACACAAATGAAGATATTTTTGATTAAATTTGAGAGCTGTATAACTACCACATTGGCTCCTAAAGGACTGCCTCTTGACGGCCCAGAAAGTCAATGAAGAAAATGTTTAAATATCCCAAGTGACTACCGTGGCTCAACTATATGTTTATCAAGCGACGCGAATACTTTTTGTGCGAAAAAACAAACAAAAATAACGAGTTTATTCGACTATTTCTTTTCTTCCTTGTAGGCCAGAACGAGACTTCCTTAGATTTCCACGACGCATGCGCGAGAATTGCGATCTGAAGTAGTGTAAGCTGGTGTGAGCAGATCGCAAATCTCGCGCATGCGTCGTGGAAATCTAAGGAAGTCTCGTTCTGGCCTACAAGGAAGAAAAGAAATAGTCGAATAAACTCGTTATTTTTGTTTGTTTTTTCGCACAAAAAGTATTCGCGTCGCTTGATAAACATATAGTTGAGCCACGGTAGTCACTTGGGATATTTAAACATTTTCTTCATTGACTTTCTGGGCCATCAAGAGGCAGTCCTTTAGGAGCCAATGTGGTAGTTATACAGCTCTCAAATTTAATCAAAAATATCTTCATTTGTGTTCCGAAGACGAACGAAGGTCTTACGGGGTTGGTACAGCATGGGGGTGAGTAATTAATGACTTAATTTTCATTTTTGGGTGAACTAACCCTTTAACACGTTAACACTCTTGAGTCTGGGGCCAAATGAACTCTTAGGAAAGTTAATTTAAAACTGGAGTTTTTGCTGTGTGAGTTCATGGGAGAATAAAAATATGACTTTTACTTTCTGATCCCTGGACTTTTTACCTCTACTTTATAATAGGGACTTGAGACTTGAACATCTGTGACTTACTCCCATCTCTGTACGTAGCATACCAATTTCAGTTGTTCATGAGATCATTAATGAATCATTAAATGGTCAGTTTATCAGCTGCTTTTGTTGTCGAATAACTGAACCAACCCACTGAGCAAAATGATGTCCAAAAGACGTCTTTTCAAACATCTTTGTCACAAAAGTCGGACGTCGAAAAGACGTCTTTTGGACCTCATTTTGCTTAGTGGGAACTGCAACTTACATAATCCTTATACACTTTTGCCCTTGTCCTCAGTTAGTCTATTTTTTTTCCATCAATGTGATTTCAGGAGCTGAAGATGAATCAGATGATCAGAAGTGTCTGAGGATTGTGCTGATCGGGAGGACAGGAAGTGGAAAGAGTGCAACAGGAAACACTATTCTGGGAAGAAAGGAGTTTGTGAGTGACTTAAGCACAGATTCAGTGACGACTGTGTGTAAAAAGAAAGTTGGTGAAGTTGATGGTCGATCAGTCGCTGTTGTTGATACTCCAGGACTCTTTGACACGACACTGACAAATGATCAATTGACGGAAGAAATCGTGAAATGTATTTCACTGTCGTCACCTGGACCTCATGTGTTCATCATTGTGTTGAGTCTGGGGAGATTCACAAAGGAAGAAGCAGCCACTGTTGATCTGATAAAACAGATCTTTGGTCATGAAGCTGCTCAGTTCAGCATCGTCCTGTTCACTGGCGGAGACAATCTTGAGAATGAATCTATAGAGGATTATGTGAAGAGAAGTAAATCTGGAGAACTCAAGAAACTGATTGGAGAATGTGGAAACAGATTCCTGGATTTCAATAACAAAGAAAAAGAAGACAAAACTCAAGTAACTCGACTGTTGGACATGATAGAAGAAGTGAGAAATGCTAATGAGGGTCGATACTTCACTAACAGCATGTTTGAGGAGGCAGAGATGTCCATTAAAAAGAGGATGGAGGAAATAATGAAAGAGAGAGAGAGAGAAATTCAGACTCAGCGAGAAAAGTTACAAGCCAAATATGAGATGGAAATGAAAAACATGACGCAGCGACTAGAAGAAGAAAAACAAAGAGCAGATGAGGAGAAACTGAAAATGGAGAATCAAATCAGAAAAGAGAGGAGAGAGAAAGAAATAACAGAGAAAAGAATGAAATATCTTCAGAGACACGAAACCATGAAAAGGAATCATGAAGATGAAATAAAGAGGATTAAGATGCAATATGAAGAAGAGGCTAGGCTAAAAGCAGAAGAATTTAATGAGTTTAGAGACAGAAAAGAGCAGCGGTTTTGGGATTTCAAGGATAGGCTGGAAGAGCAACATGATCAACATTATCTACTGAAAGAATGGTACGAAGACTTGAAAGAGGACAAAAAGCAGACAAAGAAGAAGAATCAAAAATCAAAGGGCTGTGTCATGTTTTGATTGATTTTAATGCTTAAAGTTGTCTCAAATACTGTAATTATTAGCTTTATATTTTTAAATATGCTTTATATTTTATCAAGCAAAAGTTTTTCTACTTGAATAACTGATGCTTTTGGTTATAATACCGCAAGGCCATTTGTTTGATTTTTTTTTTTTTTATTGAAAAGAGAAGGAATTTTGAGTGACCATTTTTAATGAGCACATGCAGAATTTGTAGTAGACTAGATTTGTAGTTCACCTCAGTAGAGTGTGATACTCAACTGGTACTCTCCCAAGGTTTTCTCTCCATTCTGTCACCTGATGGAGTTTTGGTTCCTTGCCACTTTTGCCTTTTGGCTTGCTTAGTTGGGGACATTTAATATTAAAATTGAAAACACATTCTCTAATCGATAAATTTATCAAATGAGTAAACCAAGATATCATCAAGGAGCTATATATATATATATATATATATATATATATTAGCAAATTAATATCTAAATTGTTAAAAAAAAATTATTTGCCAGAGTAGCTTTATCATCAATAGCGCTGTATACTTTGAGCGCTTTGGCACTCTCTATTAATTGTGTATAATATTATACTTTTACTTCTGTAATTTTTATACTACATTTTTCCGAGATAGGGCTGGGCGATATATCACATGACATTGTTATGCGCATCTCATCAGTAAAGCCGGTTCCTTGATTAGTAGTAAATCACCTTCACCTGCTTTCAGATGGACGATACGAGTGTTAAAGTTAATGAGATATTTAAGTGATTAATTTAGTGATGTTTGAGCATTATTGAAGACACCTGATGATCACAAGCAGAATCACTGAAGAAGAAAATCACAAATTTTAATGAAAAATGAAAAAAGTGAAATCGCATTCAACCCCCCCCCCCCTTTAAAAGTTGTTTTAAAAAAAATCTTTTAGGCACACACAGACCTCAAAATTCACTCATTGTATCTCAACAACGGTGACGAGTAGAATATTCAATTAGGAAAGGTAAATTACTAAGACAATTCAGATCATAATTTATTCAAACCACAATGCAAGATGGGAGCCATTAATGAGTTGTGATTGTCGGATTATTAGGATTATAAATGTCACCATAGTTGAGATACACAGGCTGATTATTGATGTCTGTGTTTCTAAATAAATGCATTTGAAAGTGATTTGATCAGAGCAATTTTTTATTAAATGTTTTGGATTATAAGAAAAATACTGATTATCATATGTTGTAGAACCACTAAACTATTGTTAACAAGTTAAACAAAATCATCTGAATAGGATTCATTTTTCAGATCATAGCATATTTATGTCAAAACATAACCAACACTATCAGATCACAGTTGTCTTTGTTCATTTGACTGGTATTAATCAATAACAGCACACAAACAAAGTTTAAAGTGAAAGTATAAGTGTCAAGAGCCCAACTAAAGCAAACACTGATCTCCATAATGGTGGCTTACAATTTGTGATTTTCTCCTTCAGCGATTCTGCTTGTGATCATCAGGTGTCTTCAATAATTCTCAATCATCACTAAATTAATCACTTAATTATCTCATTAACTTTAACACTCTTGAGTGTTAATTTAACACTCATATCGTCCATCTGAAAGCAGGTGAAGGTGATTTACTACTAATCAAGGAACCGGCTTTACTGATTAGATGCGCATAACAATATCGTGCGATATATCGCCCAGCCCTACAGTGAACACATCATTACACACACACAACATAGACCTATTTTCAGAGAGAGGGGGACAAAGACATTTAGAGTCTGTGACGTCTCAGGCCGACCACCATTGATAAGGCCCTTCTGATCACCATGCGTGTCTTCTGAGAAAGAAGTTACTTGACACTTTTTAATGTTCATAGGGTGACAGAGATGAGCCTCTGTGCATTGTGTAATGTTAGTCTGCTAACACCTTTCCAGAGCCAAAGTTTTGTTCGTACTACATTTATTTAAAAGAATAATAATAAAAGTTTAAGTTGATATTTTAAAATGAACGTTTTAATACATTTGTATCTTCTATTTATCTTTTAGAAGATAAACTAATGATTTTGTTAATGATACGCCTAAAACACAACTGTCACAGAAAACTGCATTTTTAAATTTTCAAAATAAATACATTTAAATAAATAAACAAACAAGCTGTTTTGCACCCACAAACACACACTAAGTTGGTTCCAAAATTAACTAATATCTGTTTTAGGCTAAATGATTATAAATAAGGTATATAACTTGTTACTAAAATGTATTCAAACAATATAAACATAGTTTTAGCTAAATTTATATATATATATGTAAGGGTTAATGCCCGACGAGGTGTCCATTTTCAGGTTTTAATGGACGACGGCGAGGCGTAAACCGGCCGACGCGCAGCGGAGGACGGTTGCCTCCGCCGAAGTCCATTAAAACCTGACAATTGACACCTCGGAGGGCATTAACCCGCTTATACCATGGTCACTTGCCAAATAAAACATTTTTAAAACATTAGTTTATATTTTAATTAGGCTAAATCTAGTTTTTTTTAAATAATAACTTGCCTGACGATTTATTTAGTAACTTGAGATATAACTTAGCTAGTCTGCTCAGCTTGTAGAACCCTTCAGGTTCAAAAATGCTTTTTTTCATGAAACACAAAGGTAACGTTAGGCATAGTTATTTTTTATTACACATAAAACACTATGTGTTACACTAGTCTACACTAACCACTGCTGTAGATCGACTCTCCGTCAAATAATGTCGGTGACAACGATGCGAGAGCAGTCTGCGGGCTTACTGGGCTCCGTCAGTCCATGAGAGACTGACGAAAAAACGAAGTCGCTCATTGTTGTATTAGTAGGCTATGTAATATCTAACTTGTAAAGCTTTTGTTCATATTACGATGGAAGGAGGTGCACGCTGAATTCGTTTTATCATGAGGGTTTATTAACTCAAAATCACACAGGCAAAGTGCTCACTCTTATCTCGCTGGATGCATACTGAACTCTGAACTCTCCAGAGCTATATCGTACTACTGACAAGATATTATGTCTATGGCATACGATTGGTTCTTAGCAGAATAACGTTAGATGTTTGTTTTGATAGAGCAAATTGTTAACGGATACTTTGACTGCCTGTTGCTATGGTTACTCACAGTATTCAATGTAAAAATACTTTACATTTTCATAGAGCTGAAGAAGTAGTTATTTACACAATGATAATAATAATAATAATAATAACAATAATAATAAACAATCCAAAAGGCAAACAGCTAAAGTTGTGATAATCTACAGGGTGACCCCAAATAATCAGACAATGGGATGTTCACAAGCTACAGTGAGTGAGTTATTCTCCTGCATATTATGTGTGTAAATACAAGTGCTTAAATCGGGTGTATTTTTAAACGCCAACATATTTTGCCCCCCATGGCGATGCAAAGTACCATAGTCTAGGCCAGCGTTTCTCAAAGTGTGGGGAATAGAAACCCACTAAACACTGAACGTCAGATAGGCGTGCAGATATTGGGTCTGTCGGTCTATGACCAATTTTGGACATCTATTCGACGTCCAAACTAGGTCCACTGTTTGGACGTCATATTGACGTTCAAAATTTGACCTTTGAACTGGGTCATTTTTTTGGACCCCTTTTGGATGTCTAAGACAGGTGCAGGAAATTGACATGATTGATATGCAATATTTCTTTTATTTACCGTCCAAATATTGTTGTCATCAACATGATTAATACATATGAATACAATTTTTTTTATAATTATTTAAGATCATTTTCCAAAAACTCCATTATACAAAGGTGTAACCGATGTCTGGAGACATTGAGTAATCATTCTGTGGTAGTTCAGCATGTATAATTTCTTCTTTTGAAGAAGCTGATTTACCACGGAATGATTACTCAATGTTTAAAGATAAAGAAGATATGACTGAAAGGTGACAATCTATCAAATACAAAGCATAAATGTTCTGTACAAAACTGTTTGCACTCATAGTCAAAAGTACAAAAACAAACACTATCTCTTTCTGCTTTGTGGTGTTATTTTAAAGGGATACTCCACTTTTTTTTTGGAAATAGGCTCATTTTACAACTCCCTCAGAGTTGAACAGTCGAGTTTTACCGTTTTCGAATCCATTCAGCCGATTTTCTGATATTTTGAATAATTTTAGTAACCAGACAGTTTCTGGTCTCATTGACTTCCATAGTAGGAAAAAAAATATACTATGGAAGTCAATGAGACCAGAAACTGTCTGGATACTGATATTCTTCTAAATATCAGAAAATCGGCTGAATGCATTTGAAAATGGTAAAACTCAACTGTTTAACTCTGAGGGAGTTGTAAAATGAGCATATTTCCATAAAAAGTGGAGTATTCCTTTATGCCTAGTTCACACTACATGATTTTAAAATGTCAGGCTGAACTGTGCAGTTCACACTACATGACTTGCTCTCAGTGAAATCATGAGTGTTCAAGTTGTTTAGCTGTTCACACCACACAACACAACGTGATTGATCCACAACAGGAGGTAACTCACTACACGAGTTAACAACGCACTACATAGAGATACAACCACGATCGGATGATAAGAGCATATCATTTGTGACTCAATGAGAGCTGTTTCAGTATTATAGTACGGTCTAAATCCTGAAAATAATCAAACAAATAACGAGTTGACAACAACACGATTCTATCTGGTCTAGAAACCATGTTTTGTAACGAAAAACCACGCAATAAAACGAACCAGAAATGACGCGAAACTGCAGAGAAGAACACAACACACGAATATGGACGTCAGACAGAAACTAGTGCTGCACACTGTTTGCTCGACGATCTGCTCTGAAAAAAAAAAATGCAAAAAAGAAAAAGTAAGATTTACCTGGTGTCCTCAACCCATGCGTTGCTATGATTGGCTGTACTCATGACATCACTGAGATTGAGTCGCGCGACTGCTCGAGATATCTAGCATGCTAGATATTTTTCTGAGCTCGGTGACCTGTCTGCGAGGTGTCTGCGAGCTGTCTTTGATGCGTTGTTGGCTCTTTCACACTAACGGATTGGCGAGCGTTAATCGTCCGCTAATCGCCCGCAATTTGCACGCGATAACACCCTGACTTGTCGGCGACTCAACGATTTGCAAATCGGGCTTAAATCGGGCTTAAAATCACGTAGTGTGAACTAGGCTTTAAAGGAACACTCCGACTTTTTGGGACTTTAGCCTATTCACCTTACCCCCCAGAGTTAGATAAGTCCATACATACCTTTTTCATCTCCGTGCGTGCTATAAGTCTGTTTGACGCACCCACCGCTAGCCTAGCTTGGCACAAAGACTGGATGTGACTGGTTGCAGCTTTCATACTGATCCAAATGAGTGGCAAAATAACGCAAACGTTTTCCTATTTACATGTTGTGGTTTGTATAGTCACATAATGTACAAATAACAAAGTCAAATGAGACACAGACATCTTTTAACCGTATAAAACCTGGGAACTATTCTCTGAAGGCGAAGCACTGCTACTTTGACGGAGTAATAACCGCATCACCTGAGACACGCCGTGGTGAGGAGCGGAGAGTTCGCTCGGTGTTTGGGTAATAGAGTCAGCAATTTATAAATAGTAAAAGCGTAGTTTAGAGTCATGGGTTTTCGCTCTATTGTAAATAGCAGCGACTGTAAACAGGGGAGGTAATACC